GAGTGCATAAAATGTCTGGTGATGCCATAAAGCCTGACCGCGAAGATCCTAGAAGAACCAACAGGCCTCCATCATGTACAGGTTCCACATTCAGAAATTCACCAAGTCCAGTCAACTTAGACGGGACCTTTGGAAAATCCACAGGACTGCCATTTGAACGGTCATCATCTCCAGTTGAAATGGATCAACAACCAGGAGACATCAGCCCACGTTTTGAAAGTCCCAACAGTGTGCACTCTGGTACAGGTCCAGATGATGGTCCTATAAATGTAGAGGGTCTTTCAATGCAAGATAATTTCTTGGAACTGGGAAGAAGTGGACAAAACCTTGATGAATCTCCTGGGAATACACCAACGCACTCCTCAGAAGGATCTATGGCACAGGTGAACCCGCCACGGCATGATGGACCAAATATTTCTCAACGATTTGATAGATATAAGAGTTCTCAAGCTCCCTTTGATGGGCCACCTAGCCACATGAGAGAGCCACGGTTAGATGGTCCTCCAAGACCTTATGTTCCTCCTCCTCGGTATGAAGGCAGTACAGGGGGATTTGATGGGTCTGGTGGACCCGTAAGGTTTCCTGGACATCGCTTTGATGCCCCTCCCCGGTTTGAAAGATTTCCCAAAGCCCATGAAAGACCTGTGAGATTTAACAACCCACCAGTATCACACAGGCCAGTGAGGTACACAGAGCCTCACAACAGGGTGAGATTTGACCCTCAAGCCCCAATTCATTATGACCACCCAATGCACCAAAACAGATTTGTTAATCCACAAAGGTTCGATAATCTTCACATGCAACACGGTCCTCCAGGATACGAGGAACCACGGTTCCCGGCTAGACTAATGAATTATGATGAACAGCAGGGTGCAGTTAGATTTGATAGTCCATCAGGTGGGATGCGCTTTGAGAACCCGGTGCAGCCTGAACCCTTAATATTTGATGCACCGCCTGTCATGCCAAGATATGACCCACAAGGTCCTCCAAGATACTGCGGTCCAAATATTCCAAACCAGCTGAGACCACAGGAGCCAACAATATATGATCAAACTCAAGGTCAAGCTCCTGTGATAAACCCTGCTGTTCCACCTCCTAATTTCAACATGGCACCCATGAACACGTATGGTGGCCCAGCCCAACAGTTTACCATGCAGCAAAATGTTTCTCAAGCATCTAACTTCAGTGTGACAGGCCCTACATCATCGGATTTCCAAGGTTCATTTAGACCTGCTCCATTCCCTGGTCCAGGTGTTGGAAATGTTCCTCAGCCTGTAAGTATTCCTTACTCACTTTTGAAAGTTAAAGAGTGTTCTTTTTGTTAAGCATGGAAATTTAAAGTTTAGTTTTTGTCTTGTGAATTTTTAGATTATGGGAGCTCAACCCTTCATGCCACCAAACCAAATATCTTTCCAGCCTGGTAAGAATGTGTTTATTTTATTTGTTCGCATATCCTGAAACAGAATTATGCACTGCTGTTTGTTTTGATTGTGACGTCTATTTTAGACCTATATTATAATAAGTGATTTTTTGATTCAGGTTCCCAGTTTCAGCAGCCTGAGCCCGAGCCATTGAGGCAAATAGATGTGAACGATCTGTTGTCAAAACTTATATCCACTGGAATAATAAAACCTGCACAAACAGACTCAACGACTGGTATGCATACTGTATTATATTAATATTATTTATTTATTGCTAATAATATTATTAATTTCTTACTGTTGGACAATTGAATTGCGTCAATTGTAGTCTTCTATTTCAAATGAGCCTAATTAAAGATTTATAAATCTATTTTAGACTCTACTTCAGCAAGTCAGACTTTATCTGTGCCTGAAGAGGAAGAGGAGGAGGAACAAGAGGAAGATGAAAGTGTCCCAGATATGACTGGCTTTGTTTTGGAGGACATGAAACTGTATGTACATATAGTATCTACATACTCTCTGGAATTTAGACTCAAGTGAATCTGACAGAAATACTTTTATTATTGTGTGACCGTGAAAAATGACTTAATGACACCAGATGTTTTGTGTAATTTAGGAGACACGACAGCATTATCACCAAACTCTATACAGGAATCCAGTGCTATTCCTGTGGCATGCGTTTTACTGCATCTCAGACAGATGTGTATGCGGATCATTTGGACTGGCACTACAGGCAGAATCGTTCAGAGAAGGACATCAGTAAGAAAGTTACACACCGTCGGTGGTACTACAGTCTGACGGTAAGCTGGAAACAATCCTGTGTCATTTCTTTTTTTTCTTTTTTAAAAATGTTGTATATTGTCAGAAAATTGTCACAGAGAACGTAAATGGAAAAAATCATGGTTATCTTTTTTTTTCTTTTTTTTTTCTTCTTTTTTTTTTAAGGATTGGATTGAATTTGAGGAAATTGCTGATCTTGAGGAGAGGGCAAAGAGTCAGTTCTTTGAAAAAGTTCATGAAGAGGTTGTACAGAAAACTCAGGAAGCAGCCAAAGAGAGAGAGTTCCAGAGCGTAAAGGCTGCAGCAGATGTCGTTCACGAGGTTAGACGATGTACACAGACTTTGTGATAATTCATAGTATTAGAAAAATTGTGCAAAATTAAAGATTTCTTTATTTCTCTCTCCTCAGCTGTGTGAGATTTGCCAGGAGCAGTTTGAGATGTACTGGGAGGAGGAAGAGGAAGAGTGGCATCTGAAGAATGCCATCAGAGTCGATGAAAAGGTAAGAAATCCACTAATTAAAAGAGCAGATCAAATGTTGTGGCTTTGGTGTTTGATAAAACGCTTAAATTGTTTTCCCTTCTCTTTTAGACATATCATCCCTCATGTTACGAAGACTACAAAAATGTAAGTGTTGATTTGGATAATGGCATCTTATCATGCATCACATATTGAAGTCACATGGCTGAAACTGCTGTATTTATAAGTAATCTGCTTTTGTGTAAAGACTTGTGTGAAGAAAACACTTTCCATCTTAATTTTCCTTTAGTCAATTTAAATGCTTCCCCTTTTTCTGTAGACATCCTCCTTTGTGGACTGCACACCCTCACCCAATAAAATGCTTACAGAAAACCCTTTAACAGCTTTCATAAAACAAGAGCAGGGTGATGAGGTGTCATGCTCCAGTATTAAAGAAGAGCCCTCCGAGGACAATACAGATGCACCAACGGTAAAAGAGGAGGTTCAGGTTAAGTTAGAAGGAGAATCACAAACCAGTGCAATTATTTTCTAACTATGCTGCTCCTTAGCCACCTCTTTTTGTGGTTACTTAAGCTGGTCTTTTGTGTTTTGTAAAGAAGGATATTTTTATATTGCAGAGCTCTGGGGCCGGGACCTCAGCTAGTCACTTTAAATACATTTTTGTATTTGTATTTGCCTGCACATTTCAGGTATTTTTTGCCATGTGAATGCCCAATGAAATGTACTGTGAAAGATGTACGTTTGGGGTAAATGTATATGTATAATTTAATTTATAAATAAAGATATTTTTGGTATTCTTTGTGTAGTATTGATAAAAAAAAAATTTGAATTTGTTGTTTTTTTGTTCTCCATGAGACATTTGTTCTGACTTTTGGAGAATGGTGAATGGTGGTTGAATACTAATTTATGAATGACTTTTTGTTTTGCCTACACAAAAAAAGGGAAACCCTTTTCAGTCATTGATAATTCCCTAAATCCAGGATTGGGGCTGATTGTAAATTATTAATAGTTAATGGAACATAATTTACTATGAGAATTTCCCTGACCTCAATATGTAAATAGTTATTTCAGTTTACTACTGTATTTGATTCAGAGTAATGCATTTAATTGAAAATGGAAAGAAAAAAAAAACGGTGGTTTTTTTCTCTTTTTGCAGAGGTTCAAAGAGCAATTTTGGTTTATTCAGAATATTCAATAAAAAGATTTTGAGGAAGAAATGGTGTCTTGTGTGTAAAGTGATTATTGTGTGCTTTTTGACCGATTTACAGTTGTCAGTTTTGTGCATAATCCTAAATAAAGTTTCAGTGCTAATGGAACCTTCTCTGTTCATTTATTTGATTATGATTTTTATAACCCATGACTGCTTAAATGTCTCACAAAATTAGTTACAACCACATTTTTAGTTCATCTGTATTTTAATATTTGTAAAACAACATGTAATACATAAAATTGTCTTAGAATTAAGCATAGTTTCCACAGTCTAAAACCGTTAAATGTCTTAATTTACTTTTTTTAGAAGAAAATAAAACCTTGGTCAACCAACATGCTAAACCGCTGTTAATACTCCTACATGACTTATTTTCAAAGATATCCTACAGTGATATGAATAGAGCTCTAAAATCCAGAACCAGTGTGACATGATTAGGCTGGTGGTCATGGACCCTCAAGATGGACATTGTTGATTCATATGTATGTATTAGGTGTGTCGTGGCGAAAACCTGATTTATGTTTGTGCTACCTTGTAACCCATGGAAAAAATGTTTATCCTAATAAGTATTACAAATTTCATCACATGCGTAGCTCTGTGGTTCAATATATTAAGTGAAATGACTGCAATATATCAGAAAAAGCTTTTGGATAAGGTTGAATAACCCCTATACAAAATAGGACAGAAAAAAGTGGCATTATCCGAATTCTTTATATATATAGATAATATTTGTCTTCATGCATACAAACATGCTCACAAAATCTTTTAACACTTCAAAAACATTTTAATTGAAAGGTTTTTTTTTTGCACTTGCATGAAAGGGAATAATGTTGGGAGATATCTTTTAAAAACTGAAAATGCCAAACTGCCTTTATTGCCAATATTAAAAAAAAACAATTGATAGAATTTATGTCATACTAAAGGATAAATATATTGGTCTAAAGCAGAGATGCCCAAACTAAAATTAGCCCATGATGACCTCTGATTTAGCCCACCGTATCATATAACAACTCCAACAAAAAAAGGAAAGACAAATGCCATTAAAGAATATTTTCAATTTTAATTTATATTTTTGTTTTACCTTATTATTGCATTTAAATGTAGAGAATATAGGCATTTTTTTTATTTTAATATAATATATTTGGACATAATGCAACATTTACTTTTCGAGCCACGGACCTCAAACAAGTTTGATTTTTGGCCCTTCGTAGTTAAACATTTAGGCCCCTCAGATCTAAAGAAACTTAAAGAACACATTTGCTCACATAAAAAAACGTAATATTGAAATGTAAAAATATAATAAAATATATATACACCTGTATCATTAAAACAAAAGACAGAACTTTAAAGATAAAAACTCCAGACATTAATTCTCTACTGTTTTGTGAGATTCATTTCCAGAAGCGATAGAATCCCAAAGCAATTGCCAAGCAGGTGAAGATGCATGCTGTGAAAAAAAAAACAAAAAAAAAACATGATTCAATTTAACGTTCTTGGTGCCCATAAAAAGAAATCGCATCAACAAACAGAAGAGCCACTAACAAAGCACTTGATTAATTCATTTGGTCTGTTATCAAATTCAGTGTCTTATCTGCAGGACTTCCAAACAAGTCACTGCTAAGTCAAATATGTGAAGAGGTACAGTAGCTGTCATCTGTCTGAAAAGCATCTTGAGTACATACCTGCAAGATATCTAATCGTCTCTAGCTTGAGTGATTCCAGGAGGGTTTTCAAAGAGGCAACTTGTATGTCTATTTTCTTTGAGGTTTCTATGGCTTCACTTTCTATATCTGCATTCTGAAAAAAGAACTTGACTGTAATAATGTTATATTTTTATATGAATCATGATAATAAAAGCATTATGCAATTACACTGAATAGAAAATCTTACTTGTAATCATAGTTCAAATGATTGTGTTGCTTTGTAAACCTTACCATTTTTTGGAACTCTGTTCTAACTTCCATAAGTTTCTTCTCTTGTTCTGTAAACTGGAATAAAAAATAAAAAAATTGAATTGGTTGAATGTTACAAAAAAATTATACAATACAAACTTACACAAAATGGTAACAAGTAATGTACTCATACCATGTCTGTAACTCTACTTCGCTCCAAATTAATGTCTAACTTTGCATCTGCTCTGATTTTTTGGCTTTCTTCCTTCAATGTAAACATAAAAAGATAAATAAAGCGTATGTTAAACAGAAACAATGGTAATGTGCAAAATAATTTTTCAAATTCACACAAACTTCTATCTACTTATACTCACCAGTAGTCTGTTCTTTATGTGCTCCAGCTCTGCTTTCATTTTCTGCATGTAAAATAATTGAGAAGGTAAAGAACTGAATAACACTGTCTATGACACATTTCAATGTGTTACATTAGTATTAATACTTTGTGGACAAACAGGTTTTTACTTTATATGGTGTGTTCTGATTGTAGAGCCAACAACAAAGGATGAAATACAGGTTAAAACTTTATTCTTACTGCATTTTCAGAGCGTAAATTGGCAAATTCACTCTTCTCCAAGATAACCATGTCTTTCCTGATAGCATCTAGATGAGCCATGATTTGTTGTAGAGCTATTTCCTAGACCAGACGAAGAAACCATATCATTCAATAGGGTTCTTTATTAGTCATTTCTACTGACAGTTTTGTTGGCTGTATACCTGATGGGCTCCAGTGACCATGTCTCTGTATACGATGTCCATATTGGCTGTAGTAAGAGTCACCAGTGCTGTGACAATCACTTCTGCCTGCCTCTTTTCAAAGCCTGGATTACATATGCAGAAAAAAACTGCTTAATTTTTGGCAAGATCTAAACAAGCATTACATAATTAATGCATTTAGTAAATGTAAAATATCTATATTAAGCTTCCATTTGTTTCTCTAAATCTTAAATATAAGACAATTTTAAAAAATACAACAAATAGTAAAATTGTCATTCGTTTTAACCAATAAATATTAAAATGGCTTGCCATACTGATTAGAAACCTATATACAAAGTATTTTGGCAAGTACTTATTAAGCATACCGCTGGTTTCCAGCTCTTTCACGAGCGCATGAGAGTCAAACGTGAGTTTCCTCTGCTCCAGAGGCGTCAACTCCACTTTTCTCACATCATATGTCTTAACAGCAGTCGTTTTACGGAAACCTAAAAGGAAAAATACGTCTGTAAACCCTTGAAATGTGCAACTTACTGCGCTGTATCGTCGAACAACACTTACCTCTCTGATGAAACATTGGTTGGATGTTGAGTTGATGCAATTTTAACATCGAGGAGAACTGGTATTGTCTCCGTATAAACATTCCCCAGCATGACATTGTTATATATAAAGTTATATGGCTAAACTAAATAACTATATGATTATTTATGTGGGATGTAATTGTTATACGCATCTAACCTATACTTTTTGTAAACTGCTCAACAACAGCCAAGACGAACTCTTGTGTGTGCCCTTCCTCTGTCTGTCTTTCCAGGGCAAAACGACACACCTTTCAGGGTCAAATCGATTAGCACTGTCTTAAAACACTCCTAATCTGTTCGTTTACTATATGTGGTTTCCTATTTTGGTACACTTTAGATGACGTTTCGATAGATTGTGAAGAAGGTGGACTTTTTCTTTTCTTTTATTTTCTTTTTGATGGTAGAAATAGAATAAGCAACTAGAAAGGCAGTTAGCATGACACATATACCAGGCTTAGTAGCCCGGATGTTGTCTAAAAATTTGTCATGTACGATGGTTCTGAAGAATATGTTTCAACTTTTAACTATTCACTATGTATTTTAAATAAACGCATTTTTTTTATTAAAGTCTATTATTGCGATCATTTATGTATAAATTAATTATTATCCATTCCAGAGCGCTACTGAAGTAAAAGGACGTAAAAGGACGATATGATGTGATATGTTACTTACTTCAGCGCTGTTGTATGATTGACCAATCACAGTCGTTTGTGATCCCTGTATAAGCGCACTTCACAACATCAATGTATAGGGATTTCTGGTGCGGATTTCTTATTTTATATTAGCAACCAACTTTGTAATTTTCAAATTAGCCTTGGCGCCACCAAAGGTTGTAATTCGGCTTTTAGAAATAAAGTTTTCTCTTCATTTGGAAACTGTCATGGCTGCGCCCATGACTAACGATCAGAGCTGTTTTTTTGCTCAGGCTCTCGGAGTTTCATTTCTCAAATGTCTTTTGATAAATGCCTAGTAAGTGAATTTATCTCACATAATATACTTTTTCTCTCATGTGATCACATTAAAACGGAAAACCCATGGCTATGTTAGAAGAGCGACCAAATACTCGAGACTCATTCATTCCAGACTCGTCCTTTTACGAAGAGGAGATGATTGTTTTGCATCACCTAATGCCAAGCAATTTAATATTTATTGTATTTCAGCCATTCTACCGACTTTGAGGTGCATAGGAACTGGCTTGCCCTGACTCACAGTCTGCCAGTACCACAGTGGTATTATGAGGTAGTCATATGGATTACATACAGTTTACAAACTATTACATACACAGGATTTAATTTTGTGGTTTATTTTGTATATTTTCAGGCTATGTCTGAGTGGACACTGGATTATCCTCCCCTGTTTGCTTGGTTTGAATATGGACTTTCTCATATTGCCTGGTTTTTTGATAAGGAGATGCTGGTTGTTCAGAACCTGAATTATGCAAGTCCAGCCACAATCCTGTTCCAAAGACTGTCAGTCATTGTGGCTGATGTGGTCTTCTTTTATGCGGTTAAAGAGTATGTAGCTTTTAAATGCCACAATTTGATCCAAAGTAGTTTTTGTGCCTTTGTCTTTTTAGGTTTGAAAGATACTTTTAAGGAAAGACAATGTTAAAGGCTTGCTTTTGTGGAATCTGAGATGAAGAGCATTTGTACTATTCTAGATGCTGCAAATGTTTGCGAGAAGACAAAGGAAAGGACCTTCTGGGAAAGCCATCTTTTATCCTGACAGTGTTGTTGCTGTGGAACTTTGGCCTTCTAATTGTTGATCGTATCCTTGGAGATCTGGCACGCTAATAAGTCATGCATGCCCTGATGTGACTCAGGCATTAATTTCCCTGACCTGAAATTAATTTAGCTTGACTGAATTCCTGCAGATATTCATTTCCAGTATAATGGATTCCTGTTTGGAGTTCTTCTTTTATCAATAGCAAGACATTTCCAGGTATTAGCTGTAATTTCTGTTATTTAGTGAGTTTCATAACTAATACATAACTAAGACATAACTAATAATCTGAAATTTGAAATAAATTTGTATTATACATGTTTTTAAATAGAATTTCATTATATTTTGTCTTATTTGAATTTCTGCAAAGTTTGTTGGAATATGAGTTTTTATCTTGAAAATGATTTTGTGTTAACAGAATAGACACTTTGAGGGGGCCTTGCTGTTTTCAGTACTTTTCAACTTGAAGCATATATATCTATATATTGCACCTGCATACGGTATCTACCTACTGAGATGTTTTTGTTTCACACAGAGCAATGCAGGTAATAAAATCTTATTTTTATATATATATACACACACTACCAGTCAAATTTTGGGATCAGAACGATTTTTAATGTTTTTTACAGGAGGTTCTTCTGCTCATCAAGGCTGCATTTATTTGATCAAAAATACAGGGACAAATGTAACATTGTGAAATATTATTATGATGTAAAATAACGTTTTTCTATTTTAATATACATTAAAATCTAATTTATTCTTGTGGTGCAAAGCTGAATTTTCAGTGTCATTACTCCAGTCTTCAGTGTCTCATGATCCTTCAGAAATCATTCTAATATGCTGAATTATTATCAGTGCTAGAAACTGTTGTGCTGCTTAATATCTTTTTGGAAACTGTGATACTTTTTTTCAGGATTCTTTGATGAATAAAAAGTTAAATTAATAAATCAGCGTATTAGAATGATTACTTAAGGATCATGTGACACTTTATACTGGAGTAATGGCTGATGGAAATTCAGCTTTGCATCACAGAAATAAATTATATTTGAAAGGATATTAAAATGGAAACCATTATTTTATATTGTAATAACATTTAGCAAGATTACTGTTTTTTTTTTCCTGTATTTTTTATCAAATAAATGCAGCCTTGATGAGCATAAGAGATTTCTTTAAAAAACATTACAAGTCTTAGTGATCCCAAACTTTTGAATGGTAGTGTGTATGTATACATGTATACATATGTATATGTACTATATAAGTATTTGTGTGTGTGTGTGTGTGTGTGTGTGTGTGTGTGTGTGTGTGTGTGTGTGTGTGTGTTCACAAAGACTGCAAAAAGACTGTTTGTGTAGAATTATGTCAAAATCTTTTTTTTCAGATGGATCTTTGCAGTGGAGAAGTTTCAGGTTTCAGTGTTGTGCGGCTTGTAACACTAGGAACTATTGTCTTGTCTACATTTGCAGTGTCATTTGGACCCTTTATAGCACTGGTTTGTTATCAATATATGAACAAAGCTCTTCATATAAGCACATACTGTTCAACTGTAAAGTCAGTTTACATTTTTATTTTTATTCAGCAAGGATGCATTAAATTGATCAAAAGTGGGAGTAAATAATTTTTTAATGTTACATAAGATTTCTATTTTGAATAAATGCTGTTATTTTAAACTTTTGTATTTTATGATTTTATATATATATATATATATATATATATATATATACATACATACATACAGTATATTAAGCATTAGAATGATTTCTGCAGGATCATGTGACTGAACTGGAGTAATGGCTGCTGAAAATTTTTTTTCTTTTTGCTTTTGTTTCACAGAAATAAACAACGTTAAAATATATAAAAATCGTATTATTATTCCGTGAACAAAATATATTAAAATAGAAAACTTTAATTTTTAAAGAAAAATTATATGTAGTAATAATAATAGTAATAATTCACAATATTATTGTTTTTACTGTACTTTTGATCAAATAAATGCAGTCTTTGTGAGCATAATTTGATTTGCATTTGTTTTATTTTATCACAGAGATTAGTTGATAAATGTTATTCATCTTTATTCATCAAGGGTCAGCTTCCACAAGTCCTGTCACGACTCTTCCCTTTCAAGCGTGGTCTGTGTCATGCGTACTGGGCACCAAACATCTGGGCACTTTACAATATAGCAGATAAAGCTTTTTCCATCCTGGGTATGTTCAATAACTCAAACAATTGTGTTGTATTGCTATAGGTTAAATAGAAAAAAAAAATAGAATCATTTAATTGAATGTTCATATTATTAGCGTTGTCACATAATGATGTCACTGTCCAATTGATTTTATCCTGATCGTTGCTAATTCACTTATTTAGGTGTGAAATTCAAACTGCTTGATATTAACAAACTTCCCAAGGCCTCAATGACTGGTGGTCTGGTTCAGGAGTTTCAGCACTCTGTGCTTCCTTCGGTCTCTCCTTTAGCAACCCTTGTTTGTACGTTACTGTCAATATTGGTGAGTTCTTTTTGATTTGCATTGCTAAATTGAATATTAAAATAGATGGCCTTAATTTCATTCATTGACATGAATAATGATCAATACAAAAAAAGAAAATTGATTTCTAGATTTGCCAAGCTCTGATGCATATACCATTTTTGTCACTTTGTCTCTTGCAGCCTGCACTTTTCAGGATATGGCATCGACCTAATGGAGCGAGAGGGTTCTTGTGCTGCCTTGTCATCTGTGCCCTTGGATCCTTTATGTTTGGTTGGCATGTGCATGAGAAAGCCATTCTGATGGCCATACTTCCTTTAAGGTGTTCATCTGATGGTATTCTTACATAAGCACGTTCTGCCAGCCGCCTACTAAACACAGTTTCTTGTTTTTCAGTTTGCTCGCTGTAGAGAGTAGAGAGGAGGCCAGGATTTTTCTAATCCTCAGTATAACCGGTCATTATTCCCTCTTTCCACTCCTCTTCACAACCCAAGGTATGTTCTGTTCAGAAAAACTCACAGCAAGTGTTTTGCATCATCACTGATTGTAATTCTTAAACATTTCCATTTTTAATTCCAGAGTTGCCCATCAAAATATTTCTCATGTTGCTGTTTACAATCTTCAGTCTCATTTCTCTAAAAACGCTGTTCAGGTCTGTACATTAAAATGGGATTATTGGGCCATTATTGTCTTTATGTTTGAGCAAAGTATTGGTAATGTGATTCTTCATTTGTTTTTTCAGGAAGGGCGGTGCTTTGTTGAACCCGCTGGAAGCGACGTATCTCTTGGGCCTGATTCCTCTTGAGCTGATCTGTGAGTTTGTTTACCCTCTGACAGTCTGGCAGAAGACATTTCCCTTCCTCCCTCTCATGCTCACCTCCGTTTACTGTGCGCTGGGAGTGACATATGCCTTCATCAGACTATACATTTCATTGTTGACATGTTCAGACAGCACTAAAAAGATTAAAACGCAGTGAATCGTGTGATTCAGGTGCTGGAGACTGTTCATTTCTGATGAGTTGGACAAAAAAATGAATGATTTGTAGCTGATATCTTGGGATTTGTTTGGAGAGATGGTTTGTGGGATATGAGTATCTTGGAACTCAGTTGTTTATTTCTTTAAATAATGATATAATGTAGCATATGGATACAAATGTTTATTTTTAAAGGTGTTTCTATAAATGTATTTGCTTAGTAAACCTGCCTATGGCCTGCAGTGTTGTTATTATCAACTGAAACTATTAAAACGTATTTTGAAATAAAGCTGAAATAATTTAAATATAAATATTAGACTGAAAAACTAAAAAAGAAAGAAATGTTGCT